TTGCCTCTGGAATCTCAATTCTATTCCATTGGTCTATATGCTTGTTCCTATACCAATACCAAGCTGTTTTGATGATTGATTCCGTTCACCTAAAATATTGTTTTCCATCCTCTTAGAGTCTGTGAGTGTCCTTTCTGGTGGGATGAGTTTCTTGGAGACAATATATTGCTGCTTCATGATATTTTATCCATTTTGCCTTTCTATGTCTTTTCAGTGGGCATTTAGTCCATTCACATTCAGGCTAATTATTGAAATGTGAGCATTTATGCCTGCCATGAGGTTCTTAAAGAGTTGCTGTTGGTGCTGTTTGCTTGTTATCTTTCTTTTGATTTTTGAGTTGATTCATGTGTGTTTTCAATCTTTTTCCTGCATTCTTATGAAGAGCATTGTTGTTTTTTCCTTTCTTCTGTGTTAAATATTTTCTTTAGTGTTTCTTTTTTTTTAATTTTGAAATTGTGGGGTACAGTTAAGGGTTAGGCATACAAATATACTTCATACAGGCCCCCTTGTTGATAACTGTTGTCTCCCCATCTCTAGACAGATGTTTACTACCATTAGTCCCATCCCCCCACCATAGTTTCCCAACATTGTCAGTCATTTTCTTATAATAGTGCATTGGATGATCAAGGTCCTCTATATGAGTGAGAATATGTGGTACTCAGATCTTTGTTTCTGTGAGAGGTCACTTAGTATTATAGACTCTAGCTCCATCCAGGTTGTTGCAAAATTCATGATTTTGTTCTTTTTTATGGCTGCCAACAGACACATGAAGAAATGCTCAACCTCATTAATCATCAGGGAGCACATTCTTACTCCAGAGATGATAAACCAGATCTGTGGTTAGGAAGGTAAATGGTTATAAACTGGAAGATTTTCTCATCTCTCACCAACATTGTACCCACTATCCTTTGGGTCTTGACCAGAGGACTGAGACTTTACTATTATGCCTAACTGACACTTGGTCCCACCAAGGACCAAGATGGAATGAAGAGAGTCTTTGAGATATACCTGAGAAGGTGAGGGGTAAGAAATGCTGAACTTAGATTATGCTCTTTGAATGAGCCTCTCTTAGAATGTGAGAGATTAAACATAAACCCTTTTTCTTGTACAGATGCTCAGGTGTAAACTGAGCAGTTAGACTCACAAATGATTAACGCTTGTGTGTCTCTTTATTCACCTTTCAAGATCTCCAAAGTTTCTTCTGTAAAATGTGGAGGTGAGGCTAGATATTTCTCAGCCTTCTTCTCATATCTTACAGTCCCATAACATGGTTTAGAAAATTGATGCTATGAGTGGAATGCCCAAATAAGTCAACCAGAGGGCAGATTAGAGCTTCTCTAGAATTGCATCAGCACACTGCATCCTGCTGAACAAAGAGAGGGGAGAAATGGAGAGCATGAACTTCTCTCATTCCAGCTCAGATAAAAGGTGAGATCCAAGGCTAAAGATGGGGGTACTTCTGCTGTTTCTGGCACCCTGTTTGAGTCTATACTTGGGGAGCTTTGGAAGGTGTGACAGGGAAGAAGGGGATGGAAAGGGACATAGCTTGCTGTGGCTAATCAAGGTGGTAGGGAACTTCCTTATTCTCGATGGGGATATGGCATTTTCTGAAAAAGTAAGGACATGGTTTAGAGAAGGAGGAAAATTAAAATCTTAAAAGAATTTGATAGAAAGAGTTGGAAAAAAAAAATGCAAGGATCATGGTGTTAGGTGCCCTGGGAATTTAGAGAGTGTAGGGGATATCTACCTTCTTAAACAATTTTACATGTAATTCAATACACACTCATGCAATGAATTGCAATGGTATATTATTCGGGTTTTAGAAAGAAGAAAGTTCCTTAATCTGTGGCACCATGGATAAGCCTTGAGGACATTATGCTAAGTGAAATTGCCTTATGCTTTTTATGTGTGTTATATGTTGCATGATTCCACTGATATGGAATGAATGGTTGCTGCCTGTCCCAATCTTCCTCATTCCAACTGTTGATTCCTTTAATCTCCCTCATTTATGTTCAGGGCTTTAATTTCCCAGCAACAAAATCAGGACATCTTGTTAGAGTAGAAAGAACCTCCATAAAGACCCAGTGCCATCAGGTAGGCTTACAAGAACCTCCTATTTTCTAGTACTGACAGCAACCTCAGCAGAGCTTGATACTGATTATGATCTCTACCAAAGACCTCCAATCCACCTGAGAACAAATTATTTCAGATCTTCTAAGAAGTATATGCCAAGCCTGGGTTAAGTGGTGCAAGAAATTTATTAGAAAAATGCCTGTGAGAGAAAACGAAGAGGAAGCTGAAGGAGCCTGGGAGAGCCATTAGACCATGATGCAGGCCTGACCCCTGTAGAGGAAAGACAGAAGGAGGAAAGTGGGAGAGGAAGAAAGAAGAAGGAAGAAAAGTAGTTCTTAATCTTCAGTACAATTCTAAGAAATTTCGGCAAGGTTGGCACAATCCTTAAAACCAAACAGAGCTACAAAGCTATCTATTCTAATGGCCCACCTCCTCCATGGGTAGAACCTCTGTACCACATTTCAGGGCTGTGGGCAGGGACCATGACCCACTTCTCTTAGAATGACTGCCCTGTTCTATGAGTGGATCCCTGTGAGTGCTGTATCCTTGAACTTCTTGACTTGTTGCTCTCTGCAAAGAATCTCCACTCTACAAGCAAGAGGGTGAGGAAGACCGGAGCCTAGTATTCTTGTCCTGTTGTTCCTGGATAGAGCTTCATCCTGTGAGTGGGTGCTGGATGGAGAAAGGGAATGCTGTCCAGGAAAGGAACTTCTCCATCATAGAAATGGTGCGGATGAGAGATATAACTGACAGCCTGCTTCCCCCTGTTAGAAACTATTGCCCTAGACTTGGAGCTGAGGCAGAGGGCTCCCCGTACTTTTTTTAATTTTAATTTTTATTATAAAGATGTGGGGTACATTTCAGGTTTAGGTGTACAAACATTGATCATGCAGATACCCTTGTTGATGAGATATGCCCTTCCCTCCCCTAGCAGTTTCCCTCAACTCCCAATCCCATCCCTCCTCCTCTGACAGTTTCCTATTACTGCCAATTGCTTTCTTATAGCATTATAATAGTTCAAGTTCCGCGTATCAGTAAGAATATATGGAACTCTATTATTTGTTTCTGTGATAAATCACTAAGTATGATCTACTCCAAATCCTTCCAAGTTGTTGCAAAGTCCATATATTGGTCCTTCTTTATGGCTGCATAATATTCCATTGTGTATATATACCACATTTTTTTAATCCAGTCCAGCTTCAATAGGCAACAAAGTTGGTTCCATGTTTTTGCTATTGTAAATAGAGCTCCAACGAACATACGTGTGCAGGTATCTTTTTGGTAGAATGATTTCAGTTCCTCTGGGTATATTCCCAATAGGGGAATTGCTGGGTCATATGGAAGGTCAATTTCTAGTTCTTTCAAGAATCGCCACACTGTCTTCCAAAGAGGCTGTACCAGTTTGCATTCCCACCAGCAGTGTCGAAGCGTTCCTTTTTCTCCACATCCTCCCAGCGACCACAAATAGCTAAAACAATCCTTAACAAAAGAAACAAAGCAGGAGTACCACTCTTCCAGATTTCAAACTTCACTATAAGGCTACAGTACTCAAAACAACCTGATAATGGTACAAGAACAGGCATATAGACCAACGGAACAGGATAGAGATTCCAGAAGCAAAGCCTAATTTCCTCAACCAACTCATCTTTGACAAAGTCTCCAACAACAACCACTGGGGAGAGGAGAACCTATT